ACAATGAATAATGTTTTAAGTATTCACTTCAAGGATCATGAAATCAAGAGCTTGCCTAGGTCTGGTTAATTGGCATGCACCTGTTTCAAAGCCTGAACATTAACTTCTGCATGCTAGCTGGCAATAGGATGAAGGAAAGTTGATGAAGGATCAATGTCCTTTCCACTACTGTAACTAGGGATGGAATGAGGCAAGTTGTACCTTTTATAGGCTACAGGATTTTTTAACCATCCTTTCTCTCAATTATCACATTAAGGAGTCTTTTAGGTCAGTAATGTAAAAATTCTGGAGGCAGAAGCACCAGACATTCTGTTGGATGCCATCTCACTGAGGGTTAAGGCTTCTGCAATTATCCTTGTCAATTCTAGGAGACCAGTCTGTAAATGCCTGGCCTATATAGGAAGTTTCTATTTCAATAGTCATTCTATTTTGACAATTGTCCAGATATATAGTCTTAATTTCTAAGGACCAGCATGATTGGCTGGCTTAGTTTTCTCATATGCTGTCTTTTTCTCAAAAGATACTCCCAGACAGCCTGTTTACACAGGATCAACATATAGGTGTAACTGACCATTACAGTCAGGACAATTAATCTGATTATATAGGTGGACTTTCCAGTCCACAGCACAAAGCATATTAAAGGTGGACCTGAGAAATGGGCCTATAGAAGTTTGATCCTAATTTTTACTTACCTGACAAGCTCATGAAGCTGCATGGATGTAAACTCCACAGTTGGGAGATTTACTTTTCTGTGTCAGGGTTTTAACCTTTCCATAATAACCAGGTTAAACTCTATTTTTGAAATTTCATTTAATATACTGAATCATGTTCAGCAGCAGTAAGACTCAATACTACAATTAAGAAAAATTTTTAAAAATATTTTGTAAGATTTATTGTGACCCTGTGGGGTCCTGTTTCTCCCTGTTTTAATATATTAGCATTGAATGAAATGCTGACATATATCATAATATCATTAGTATAAATTATTGACAATAGTACAAGTATTTAAATGATAAAGATTTATTATGTTCAGCTGGTCGTGAGACTTGACAAAAGTCAATTTAGGGGGTATGGTAAATAGAAATTTAGCATTTACTAAATGTATGACTTGATTTTGACTTTAACAGAATTATCAAAAATGAAGAATACAATAAGTTGTATACAAAAATTTATATTTTGAAATTAGCTCTAGATTAACTTAATCAATTATCTTAATTTGGAATAAAGGTAGAGACAGAGTTTTTAAATTAGGAGTGGTGGTGGTCTTTACTAGGGGCATGAGAAATTATGTAAACATCTATCCAAAATAGAAAGTCAAATGCTAAATAAGCCTAGAGAAGATATTTTGTTTTTACCATTACTAAAAAATGAAATAGAGAAAAGAAATGAATAGTCTTTTATCTATGAATCTAAAAAAAAGCTGTCATTATCATTATCAAACTTAGTGTAGACTTAAGTATGGAGGGTTAGTATCTCAAATATTAATAGTTAAAAATAAGTCAATAGTGTGATTTAAGACAATGACCTAATTTAGAATTTGTATGAAACTGAACTAGCAATGACATCTTGAGGAATTATTGTCTAAACAATTGTGTATAAAGAAACATATGCATGAACATCTTTAATAACTCCACTTAATGTAGCAAAATTAGCTCCAGTAACCATGCATAATCCATGACTTTACTAATTTCAAAAATATTAATGTATGTAGGGTATCATCTCAGAGCACTAAAATTGAAAAAAAGCTCTATTATGTTAAATTTATTACTAAAATTAGTCATTGGCTATGGAGCTGATTTATTTATGGCTGTCTAATATTTTAGGAGTAACTATTTTTAGGGCTATTTTCCACAGTGACTAACTGTTGACAGGGCTTGACTTAAGACTCCATTTTAATGTTTAGAGGCTCTCAAAAGCTGTTTTTAATTAGAAGAAGAGTAAAATTTTTAACTAAGAATCTTATTTTTCTTGTGGTAAGATTACAACTTTAATCTCTTTTTGTCTGTATGTTTGCCTTTATTTTTCTTCTTCACTTGGGCTCCATTTAACTATGGTGCAACACCTAAACTTGGCTAGAATTATGTAAATCCTTTGTAATATTGATGGCTAACTGGACAATAGACTCATCTTTTGAAAATAGGTGGCCCCTTATAAGTTTAGGTTCTGTATTGTCCCTTTAAGTATCTCTATGAAAATAGTAGAATTTTTCTAAAGGCTTACTAAAATTCTTTTTTAGGCATTTTGTTTATATGTTGGATATCTGTTTTGGAGGGTTGTCTGTACTTCAGTTAGACTATCAGATTTGTCCCTATTCTGTGTTACTGGGACATGGTTAAGATAAATCTCCCTTAAATCTAGTTTTAAAATTGCCTTCTATTTCAAAATTTAGCTAAGTAATAGCATAATATTTCTCTAGGTAAGATTAGACATTTGGCACAAATTTTGAAATAATACATGAATTTGGATTTCTTGAAAATCTCCCTGAATTTGTTTTGGTCTATATTAAGTTTGAAAAGTTCCCTTCGATCTTTCTTTCTAGTAGGCAATTTTTAAGGCCTTCTTTGATGATAGAGTTGAGGCTAGATAAGAAAATGAGATACCATTTGATTATTGTAATCTCCCAGTATATAGACTAGTTGATTCATTCTAACAATTCAAAAAGATCCCTCAATCTCTTTTTGAGAGAAGGTCTCAAAATATCTCCATATCTCAGAATATTATCCTTTAAATAGGTGTCTCTTAATTGTCTTTTTAAAAATATGATTAAGGTTACTTCCCATTGTAGGGAGTAGTATATGAGTCTTACCATATTATTTATGGATAATAGGTCCAGTCAGAGAACTTATATAATACCAATGAATTTCCATCAAAGTTTGCAACTTTTATTGTTCAAAACTAATGTGCAACATTAATTTGGAGAACACCCATCCTAATTAAATGTTCTTCAAAATCCCATAAACATCCAACAAATACAATATGCAAGAATCAAATTTAGTCTCCAAGGAGAAAAGTCAAAGTTAGAATTTAGTCAGCACTTTAAAACATTGATTGTTTAATTAAGGATGTGAATTTATTCACTAAAATTAATTCTTAAACATTAAGAATCACTAGGTAAATAAAAACCTTAGTTAAAGGAAATAAACTTAACATTTTAATAAGTCTTTATTATGTCAAAATATGGATAAAATCTTAGCTCACATCAGCATAATAAGGTCAGGGAAATAGCCTAAAATATACTAGAATTGATGAGTTTATATTTACAGTCAGTCCAGTTATACATAAATCAGTTTCTCAATTATTTTAAATTTCTCTATTATCTGTCTAGATAATAGATAATGATGTAAGGATTTCCTTATGTAGAAAAATCTAGAATATAACAACCTTATATTTCCCAAAGAGGATTTCTTTCCTCTTTGTAGGACCTCCAATTTATGTTTCCTCTCTGTGGAAGTATCTTCTTCTTCATTTAGAATTCTTTCTTTTGGTTATAATTTGGAAGAATTTCTATAAGTCTTAGAATCTAAACAAATTATTGTACCTTGATATGAAAAAAAAATCTCAATGAAAATATATTGAAATATGGATATTTCTGTAGACAAAATTATATTTGTTTATTATCTTATCAAAGTTTGTACAATAATTTGAGAATTAGAGATTACTTGATAGTTATATTATCTCTTGAAAGAAAAAATTTTTATAGTGAAATACATTTCTCAAATATCTGTAACTATAAAAAGCAGAGCATTTGATAAATGCATGTATAAGGAATATAAATTATGTGTTTTCTGTTGAAAGAAAATTATAAGAAGCAAATACATATATATTAATTTAATAAATAGACATATATGTTAAATATTCTATGAATTAAGGACTATAGATTATTTAAATAACTGAGAAAATATTCATTAAGAATAAAATCATAGCTTATAATTATGTAAACCTTATGAAGCCATGTGTTTTTTTTTTTAAATATTTGGATCCATTTTAGTTTGCTTTTAACTAGAGGTACACTCTTAACTCTATGTGACATCACAAAATTTCTGTGCACATATCTGTTCATATTCTGTATTTACATAGTTAGAGAACAAGAAGAATAAGGTCAAACCATCATGAGTGGTTTTTGAGAAAAACTATCTCAGATTGCCCATCTTTTATTATCTCCTGAAGACCAAAGGTATTCTTATAATCCTTAAATAAAACACAAGCAAACATATGCATCACTCATAAATGTAACGTTATCTTTGCAATTTCTCTTAATAATACAGCTATAAAGAATTTCTAAAGGAACCCGTCAAAGGACAAAAATCAGATTATTTAACTTTGAGTACACATTAGGATTAGGGCAGCAATGTAGAAGTCTGTGAACCATATTTTGTCTGAAAAGGAAATCTTTTTTTAGTGCAAAGGTATTAAATAGGATTGGAGAATAGCACATTCAGTGAAATAATTCAGCCTCAGAGAGTCAAAGTGTGTGTTCTCTCTCCTGTGGAAGCTAGAGAGGAAAATGTAAAACAAACAAACAAAAGGGATCTCATAGAAATAGAAGGGATACCAGTAGACTAGAGGAAGGCAATTAGGGAGAGGGAAGAAGGGAGGGTAAAGGGTGGTACTGGGGAAAGAAATGAAGCAAATCATAATATGTGTATGTACAAACATGTCACAGTGAATCCCAACATTGTGTATTAGTATAATGCACCAATAAAAAATGTCTCCACAAGCAAACCAATCAAAAACAGAAAACAAAAATCAAAGTCTGGAAAAAGATATTAGAGTCCGTTTCCTTGGTGCTGGGAGGGGTTTTACCATATCATAATGACTTCTGTGTATCTCTTCTCTTTCCTTATTCGGTCCTTTAACATGTAAAAGAATGACTCAACTTGATCAAAGTCCACTTGCATGACACTTTACTTTCATTTCCAGTATTCAGTGATGTTGTAAGTTGGTTTTCTGTTTAGCAATTGTTTATGGAGAGGGATGTAGGTACTGCATCTCAGGACTGTGCTCTGTGACAGTCCCACAGGCACTGGGACCTTCCAGCTAGGATGCAGTTCTTCTGTGTGGGCAGCTGGACATGCTTGCTCTCCCTCCTTCTTCCCTGGCCAGGTGCAGGTGAGTGAGAAGGAGGAAGACTGCTTTCCTTTACACTGGAGACTTGTTGAGAGGACATCTTATTCCATACTACAATTCCAGGCCTCAGTTATTTCTTGTTTTCGACAACTAAAGATCTTAGGGCTATTCTCAAGTTTCTGTCTTTAATTCTATTTTGGGAGGCACTTTTTCTTTTCTATTTTATCTTTGACTTATGTTCACACAACATGCAAAATATCTGGTTGACAGCCATCAATTTCTAGAAAATACTTGACCTCCAATTTCCAGAACGATAAAATAATATAATTTATAAAAAGATGATTATAACGTATAAATAATAAAAAATTGATATTTTAGATTTTTTTCCAGTCTTTCACTTTCTGTGCATATTCATTTTTAAAGTGAGTTTCTTATAGCCAGCAAATGTTGGTCTTGTTTTTATAGCCATTCATTCAGTCATTATCTTTTAGTTGGAGCATTTAGTCTACTTAAATTCAGGGTTAGTTTTTAAAAATAATGTGTTATGCCTGCACTTTTAAAATCTTCTTCTTCTTCTTCTTCTTCTTCTTCTTCTTCTTCTTCTTCTTCTTCTTCTTCTTCTTCTTCTTCTTTTGCAAATATTCTTTGTTTTTCCTTCTCATTCATCTCTGGGATTTGAGGTTTTACTATATTGGTAACTTTACTGTTTCAATGGGGTTTATTTTGTTGAGGTTGGATCTTTGTTCTAGTTCTCTTCTGTGTACCTAACTGTCTAGGGATTTTTATATTTCACATGCTTTCACTATGTTTATCATCTTTCTTTCATTTTCGTTTGTAGGAGATTTTTAGGCATGGTTTGTTAGCTATGTGGTTTTCACATGGGCAAGAGAAAGAAGGGATCAGACCAAAGCAAGATCAAAATCCAGATGGCAAACCCTAAATCCTTTAGTTCCACGTTTGGCATCCAGGGCACCTGGGGGCAGTGTGTGGAGTCCAAAGGGCTTGGCAAGCTGTGTGACCTTGCCAGTTGTATCCCACATGATCACTGTATTGGGCTGACTCTTTTTATTGCCTGGTGCTTTTATGGACTAACATCCCAAATTCCTGGCATCTCCAACTTCCTGTGGTCAACATAACAACTTTGGTGTCCCTCCTTATTCTCACCAGTTAACACATTAACCCTTCAGGGAAGCTGAGACTGTCCCACCCAGCCTGGCTTATTGGTCTCCCTTTTAAATCTCAGTGGAAACCCCCATGATCCCATAGATTTTGCATTCTCCATTCCTCCAGAACCAGCAACCCATAAACGATGCCAAGAACTGCTGCCAGCTCAAGCATTAGTTGGACCCACTGGGACTATGGCTGCAGTGACTTCTGAATTCCTAGTTAGTTGAGCATGCTGACATGAATCCTGGGGAAAGCGGTTTCCTAGATGGTCCTTTTGGAACAGGGTATTCCTGCCTCTTTTCTCAAAGCAGTCTTTCAAGTGAGTTTGTTCTTTGACATCATTGAGTTTGTGTTGTGTGTTGTCTGTACAATTCTTGATACCCTGGAGACATCTTTCCAAGTGTCCCTATGAGAAGCACTTGTATTTTTTTTATAGACACTGATCTCTTCAGCAATCACATCCTCCTTGGCCACAAACTTAAACATGTTCCCTTTCTGCCCCAATTGAAAGTTTTCCAATCTTTCTGCTCTGCCTTTGGCTCCCAGAATTGAACCTGGCTAAAAACTGCCAACAATACCCTGTCATTGCCTTAGTGCTGTGAGCTGTAAATTCTCTCTCCTGGATCAATGAATCCATCATATTTAAACTCAACCTCACACATAGTCTCTGAGCATGGGTAAAATTTAGACAGGTTATTTTCTGGAATGTAACAGATGTGACTGCTAATCCAATTCCCCACAGCGTGCTCATTCCTAGACATGAATTGGTGTGAACATACTTTATATACAGAGATATGAAAAAATTGTTCTCTATGTGTGTAATAAGAATTTAAATGCATTCTGCAGTCATGTATTTAAAAAATAAAGTCAATTAAAAAATAAACATAGATATGTACATAAAAAAGCCTAATGAATGAAGTCTTTATTGTCCATATGCCTATTGGCATTTCAATCTTCCAAGCTCCTATCAGAAGAGTCCTTCATTAAGTTCCACTTTCAACGTTATAGGACTTCTATAGAAACTTTCAACCTTTTCCAAACTTCTTCCAACAACCAATTTCAAAGGATTTTGGACTATGTGTTCAGGTATAGTCACAGCAATAACTCCCTTCTCACTACCTATTTTCTGAGTTCATTTTTTAATTTATTTACTGTTTTTCTGAGTTAGTTCATTTTTTAATTTATTTGCTGTTATAAGATGCATGAGAAAATCAACTTATGAGAAGGAAGATTTTTTTTTTTGACTCATGGTTTCAGAGGTTTCAGTTCATGGTCAGCCAGTTCCATTGAATGGGCTGGTGGTGAGGCAGAGACCCACAGCAGAGAGGGCATTAATTGCTACTCAATTAATGGCAGCAAGAAAGCAGAGTGAGAGCAAGAGGCTGAAGACAGGATAGAACCACTCCCTTCAACTAGGTGCCAGCTCCTATAGTTTCTGTTACCTCCCTATAGCACCACCATCTTGGGACCAAGTCTTTAATACATGAGCTTTTGGGTGCCATTGGGGATTCAAATTTTAACAAGCACCACAACAGATGCTACAGGTGTAAAATTCTTCAGCTCATGTGATTATCCAAGTGTGAAATTCCCTGCCTGACCTCATTGGATGGATTATCATCAAAATACAGGTGCACTAAAAATGTTCTATAAAATTAGCTTCAGGCTATGTGCCACACTCTATGCAAAGGCTCTATTATTTTTCTTGATCACTTTCAGGGCAGTTCCTTGTGATTGGACCAAGCTCACCCATCATTGTCATGGTGGGAGAAGAGGCCATGTTTTCCTGTCACCTCAGCCCTTCCATGGATGCTCAGAACATGGAGGTGACATGGCGCCATACAAACAAATCAGGCCTGGTACATAACTATAGGAATTCCCAGGACAAGGACCAGCAGCACCCAGAGAACCAAGGGAGGGCAGAGATCCTGAGGGAGAACATCACCAGGGGTCAAGTGGCCCTGAGGATCCGCAACATCCATCCTGCAGATGAAGGCGACTACAGATGTTTCTTTTTAAGCTCCACCTACCACAATGAAGCACATTTCAAAGTGTTGGTCACAGGTGAACTTCTCTGGAATGAAAACTCTTTATATTCTGTATAATGTTAACTCTGTTTTTTTGTTCTGCCTATAGTTTGCTAGGATAAATACTGGGTTTAGTGGACAGTGGAGGTTTAGTCTAGGCAAATCCTATGACGGAATTTCAAGAGTGTTAAAGAGGAAGAAAACATCTCACCAGTCTATTCCAATGGTCTCAGGCTGTAAGAGAAATATAGTCGCAACCCTTTTCTTTGTCAACATAATTAAGAAGAGGAGAAAGGAGAGAATCTAGTATATCTCATTCTTTCATTTGCCTTCCTTCCTTCCTTCCTCTCCTCTTCCTCCTCCTCCTCCTCCTCCTTCTCCTCCTCCTCCTCCTCCTCCTCCTCCTCCTCCTTCTTCTTCTTCTTCTTCTTCTTTCTCTCTCTCTCTCTCTCTCTCTCTCTCTCTCTCTCTCTCTCTCTCTCCTTTCCTTTCTTCTCTCTCTCTTTTTTCTTTCCTTTCTTCTAGGGATTGAACCCAGGCTCTCAATCATGCTGGGCACATGGGCACATTTTCTGTCACTGAGCTCCATCCCAGCCATGATATTTCCGAGGAGTCCCAGAAGCACATCTTAGTCTAAGATATCACTCTAGTTTCTAAAATCCAGAAGGAGATGGAAGGAGACAGGAAAGATCAGATGCACCGACCATCAGGAATTGCTCTTCCCCAGTCCAACATGGTTGTTTCCATCTTCCTGTGACACTCTTGTCTGCTTGGATCCCTGCACTGAGCTCGTGTCAGATCCCAGCTCTGCCCAGACACTGCGCCCACAGCACTGCCAGTTCTGCCAGGGTGAGCAGGTGTGGAGGGGTCCAGGCTTCAGGCTCACACTGAGTTTGAACAGCTTTGCCCCTGCTCTTGTCATGGGACCTTGTGACAATCTCAGGCAATAAGTTTCTCCATTGCTATCCTCACAATTGGCCTTCAGAGAGGACTACCCAGTCTGTCACAGGGAGCCCAAGAGGAGGAGATCTCTTCCTGCAGTGTGCCTTGACAGGCCATGTCCTTGCCCTATATTCAGTGACAGTTTTGGACAGGCCATGAGCACCCCTGAACTCACGCTTGCACAGTGAAAGGTGGGTACTTATTGATTCTTCCCAAATTAAAGAAGACTAGGAGAAAGAATTACTGACCAGTTGAAAACAGATTTTTCTGCTAAATTTTCTCCTAACTTGACAACTTTATGCACATATATCCTGAAAACATTTCCAGGGTGAAGACATCCAAACTCAAGGTGTCATCCTCCTGTAATCCAACAGAGAGGCCTGTGCCTTCCAACTTCCAGACACTTCCTGCACTGTGACCACGCCATTCTAAGATCTGCTTCCATCTCGCCATGCCATCTTGGCTCTGTGCGAATGTCCCACCTTTCCAATACGACCTATGTAGACTCATTTTTAGGAATTACATCTAAAACGACACTATTTCCACTCACAGCAACCTTCACAGGCACTGGATTTAGGACTTTAACATATCCTCTGAGGAACATGATTCAGCCCACAAAAGTGATTGTTTAATACCAGTAAATTTACTTTAGTTTTTGTTAGACACTGTGATGGTTTGGATAAGTTAGTGTTAGTACACACTAAGCTGCAAAACACTATGCACAAGTGACAGCTGCTTGTCATCCCAAATCTTGGGAGGAGGGACAAAGGCAGGAGGAGTGGGTCCCACTGTGTGTGTCCACCTCCGTTTACTCCTGATCCTCAGCCTTCCCCCAGTGCAGCCTTCATCTTCACATTGGGAGATGAGTCACTGCTGCTCTTGCACCCCTGTCCTTGAAGAGAGAGAGAGTGAGGGAAGGATGAGCCAGTTCCTATGGCAATGTGATGACCAAGACACACAGATGATGTCCAGGGACAGCACTCTGGCCAGCCTCTAGGACACTCCCAACAGCAAGGGCACTGAGACAGGCAGCCCCCCTCTGAGCAGGTATATCCATTGATGCAGTTCAGAGGGGGAAGCTACTAATCAGGGGGGTGCATAGACATCTTTCAAGGTTCCTTTGCCACAGTGGCTAGTGTCTGCCATATTGGCCCAAGGCCATACGAAGTTCCATCTGAGGTAGTTGTATAGGAGAAGGGTGATAGAAATTATGTGGACAACTTGCAACTGACATCTGAAGCCACCAGCTCATGTGTGTCCACTGGCTGCAAATGGACTAATGGGTTTTACTAACTACATGTAGTTCTCAAAGGGGTACAACGGAAAGAAACACAGCAGGAAGGGACCTGGTAGGAACTGAAGTACTCTAGTAAAGGCCAAATTGCGGTCTTAATCTGTTCCTCCTCCAAACCCTTTGTGTGACTTTACCCCATTGTCACAAAAACAAAACACACAAACAAAACACAGAGTTGAGGTTCACAGAGGTTAACGAGCAATCGCAGTTTCGCTGGTCCATGTGAAACAGCTGGACATTTCTGGAACAGTGTGCTCTCTCTGCCTCCTTCCCTCTCCAGGCACGGGCATGGCTCCTCGTGTTCACGTGGAACCTGACACAGCCTGGGGCATCAGGCTGACCTGCACATCCACGGGGTGGTACCCAGAGCCCCAGGTGCAGTGGAAGGGCAGGCAGGGACTGCACTTCACACAAGACTATGAGACAGTGAGAATGGAAGAGCCTGGCACGTTTCAGGTGCAGGCATCCATCACAGTGGACGAGAGGTCAACAGGAAACTTGTCCTGTGTTGTAAGGAACCCACTCCTCGGCGAGCAGAAGGAAGCACATGTGTCTCTGGCAGGTGAGTTCCCTCCACAGTCCGCGCTGTCCTTGCAGCTGATCAGGTGTGACGAGCAAAGACCTGGGCAGTCACCTGGGCCAGGTTCTGGTCCATTCCTCTGTGACTTCCATGTGAGGAGTCTTAGTGAAAACATATCTCATCCTCAGCTCCCATTTATTGGCAAAGAAATGATTTTACTTATGAAAATGAATTTACGGATATGCAAAAGCCTTCAAAGCCCATGCAACATGGGAGAGAATCTCCCAGATTCTCCTCAAGATGTTCTTTAACTATTGCCCAGGAGAAAATCATTCAGAACACTTTAACGTTTTGTTCTGCCACCGACTAATTAATGTGAACCCTGGCAGTGCCACCCACCATCTCTGGGATCTTGGACGGGTACTGACCTTCCCTGCCAGTTCCCAAAGGAGAAATAGGGCTCCTGATGGTGTGTGCGCCATGAAAAGGCTGAGGAGTGACTGATGGAACTCACCTGGGCAGCACAGAGCCAGAGTGGGCATTCCACAAGAGTTGGTCCTGACTACTCTCCTGCGGCTCTCTGTCCCTCTGCCCAGTCAGGGCATGACAGTGACTCAGGTCCACAGGCTCTTCCTCTCGCCTGCCTTCTCATGACCTCCGTTTCAACTCTGCACTTCCTTCCTTTCTCTGTCCCGCCCCGACCACAGGGTACCCCACACTCCTGTCCTCTGGGAGCCTTCACCAAGCTTCCCCACTGGTCCTTCAAGTCCCAGCGCAGGGACCTGTCCTCCAGGAATCCACTCCAGCCCCTGTGCATTGCAGTCCCCCTGTTGACTCTTACACCATGGTGGACTGCATCCCACTGGCTGAGGTAGTGTGGCACCCAGGGGGACTTGTGTCTTAATTCTCCTGTCCCCATCACTTCCCAAGGGCTCAGCTCAGGTGTGGCACTGCCTGTTCACTGATGAAGGCTCCTAAGAATCCCATCAACTAAAATGCCCTTTCTCGGGTGCTTCAGTTCAAGCACCCACATTTGTTTGACACAATGGAAGAAAATTCCAGGTTCAAAAGGAGAATGTGACAAAAGCATATATCAGAGCAGTAGAGTTGTATTTTCTGATGTTTTTTTTTTAATTGCAATTTCAGTAAAGCAAAATTAAAGAAGGAAAAATTAACCAAGTCTCCCAGTTAGAGTTTCATAGTGAAGAAAGCAGCTGAGGCAGCTCACTGTGAGCGGGAAGTGAGAGAGGCAAACTCACCAACGCTCAGGTCATCATACTAGAACTCTCTTCAAAAGAAATGGAAGATGAAAATTAAAAAAGTGTCTTCAGATAATAGTAAAAATGCTTCTATATGGAACTTAAAATCATTGATAATAACTAAAAGTCATTGATTGATTAGATCGAAAGCATCTTATTGACATGAGTGCAATTCCTGAGTGAGGAGGTCTTCGGGACCACTTTTCAGGGAAGGTTATTGCACAGACAGGTGTGGATGGCCCAGCCAGGGCTGCTTATTTAAAGGACCAGTGGTCATTCCTCTCAGAAGGATTCCTGGGCATGTAAGGGTTTTGTCTCTGGGACTTGGTCCATGCGACCTATTGGATTTACCCTCTGAAAGGATCAAACTTCCTCATTTGCCCTCAGAGGAGCTCCCCCTACCCCTCAGCAACATGTTGTTGGGCTCACTCATGTGCATACATGTGTGAAAACAACCAGGTAAAGAAGACTTGGCCACATCAGGGCTTGCGAGGAAGGAGAAAGGAGATCCACATGGAAGGAGAAAACTGTGTTCTATTAGTAACATTTTATTATAAAATAATTACATGTCACAAATATAATCGTAAGCACTATTAAATCTAGATGATACCCTGTGTTGATTTATCATAACATGTTGGACATGTCTCAACATCTTCATAATCCCTGACATGACCTCTGGTCTCTGCCCCATGCTGTGAAGGAGGAACACCTTCAGGATTCCTGATTCCCTGGAGTGGAGCAGAGGGCAGGGGTGCTCAGAGTCTCTGAGCTCCTCCTGTCTGGGGAAGGCTCCTGGAGAGTCACCCCACAGCCAGGTCCCCTGCTGTCCAGCTGGACTCCAGTCTGATGATTGTGTGTTTCAGGTGCCTTGTTTCCCAAGGACTGGTCCTGGACGATGGGGCTGTGTGTGTTCCTGGTCCTCCTGGAAGTCAGCCTGGTGGTCACCTGTGCTCTGCTGATGCGGGCCAGAAGAGCCAAAAGTAACAGGGAAGTGCGTGGGGAGGGGTGGCTCAGGTTCCTGGGAAGCAGAGGGCACTAGTCACCACAAGTCAGGAGTGGACTGTGGGTCCCCTGCATCACTGAGAACTGGCAGGAAACGCCGTAAAAAGGAAGAGTTAGTCCATCATCACCTTATCGCCTCGCATAGTTACCAGAACATGAAGTTTGGGGGTCAAGATCAGCTCTTTCATAAAAACAGCATATATGCTTAGAACTTTTGTGGTCTACCCTTAAATTGGTAGATTTGGAGACCAGTTTATTTATTGAGGTATTCATTAGTGTGCCCAGGGATGATGAAATGCTCTGTGCATGTCCTGGGATGGAAACCCTGGCTTATCACAGTCATATACCCTCCTGAAATGGCAATGGGAGGGCCCTACTGCTGCTTTCTGTGTGTCCTGGGGACTCATGGAAGACTGCTATTGACAATGAGCACCAAGACTACCAGTGACCACTGTCACCCAGGGCCTGGCATGCCTGAGGCACCACCCCTCTCCAGGATAGCTTCTCTCCAAGCAGAGCCACTCACTAGGGTCACCTGTTCTGCTGCCTCTAACTTCTGAGTGTTTCTTGGGAGTTACTTAGAGCACAGCTGAAGCCAGACATTCCCAGAGGCTCCTGGAGGGTTGGTCTGTGATTCTGTCCAGTCCTTTTCTCAGTTGGCTGGATTAGTGTTTGCGAGTCCTGCCTGTTGAGGGTGACTCCCCTGCCAGCAGGACTTAGGAAGGGCCAGGGGGCTAATCCAAGGGAGCAAAGCCAGGGAGGGAAGAGGTGCCCTCCTGAGAAGTTGCTTGCTGCTGACTGGGCGGGGGTTGTCAGCATCCCAGACGCCCCAGAATTACCAGGCAGCCTCCTCTGCCCATGGGTCACAGGAAACTTTGTGAAAACAGGGCTTTTTGTCTGTTTGTTTGTTGTTTATATGGGAACTTTCCTTGTGTCAAGGCATATTTGGGTTTCTGGCTGTTAGGAAACAGCAAAAATGGGAATATACAAAGCCAAGACTGGAAGTGCATAGAACAACAGAAAAAATGGACTAATCATTTAGAATATTTGTCCAATTAATATAATATAAATTAGCCAATCTAATATAATCACACGCCACCCACTCAGAAGATTCAGTGCAAACAAGTCTCACTGATGGGTCTGTTTGTGTCTGTTGCAGGTTTGCTCAAGGAGCAGCACGGTGAGTGGGTCCAGCTGCTGGCAGAGAGCCTTGTGCTCCATGTAGGGACAGGGCCACAGTGCAGGGCACCCTGCAGGGACCCTCAGGAGGCTGAGTGCCTGGAGAGGCTGCTTGGGTCTTGATCATGCATCTGAGGATTAATATTCAGTGGGAGATGGTGGAAGAGGGTCCTATGCCTTCAAGGTGTCCCCAGGCTACTGCAGTATAGGTGACTCACAACCACCCCCACACATCCAACAAGCCACATTGGGCTCCCTCAGGATGCAGCGCTGCTCACGCTGTTGGAGGGGCTGGGGGGGGGGTCCCTGCCTCTGACCTCTGAATCACAGTGTGGACTCACAGTTTGGAAGAATTGGCCTCCTATTTCTCTGCCAGTGACCCTGCCTTAAAGCTCTTGGCTCTCACATGTCAAGTAGGTAATTTTCAGTTCATTTTGATCACAGTCTACACTGCTGTGGGGAAATGAACCACAGAAGTTTTGGACATTTAATCTTTTAATGTCTACTTTGGGGTTTGAAAGTGAACTCCAGCAACAATATGAGAAGTCATTCATGTGTTTTCCCTCATGCAAAGATTGATAATAATTTAAAAGATCAGGCAATTTTGAAGGAGAGAGGAAAGGAAAAGATTCTGAGTCTCTTTTTTTTTCTTTTTTATTGGTGCATCACAGTGATACACAATAATGGGGATTGTTGTTACTTTTTCATACATGCACAGAGTTTCTCTTGTTTAACTAGTAGATGCCACTCTTCCTGAATGTTGTTGGATCATTATCTCCACAATATACCAAATTTTGATTACACAGAGAAGTATGTGTAATCAAAGTGCCAAATGCTGCAGTAAACTCATAAAAATACAGGAAAGGAACATGGTGCATCATTTAAAATTCAGAACACAGCCAGGTGTGGTGGCACATGCCTGTAATCCCAGTGACTGGGGAGGCTGAGGCAGTTTTGCAGTTTTGAGGCCAGCCTCAGCAACTTAGAGAGACACTAAGCAATTTAGTGAGTCCCTGTCTCGAAATAAAAAATAAAGAATGCTGGAGAAATGGCTCAATGATGAAGCATCCCTGAGTTCAATCCTCAGTACCAAAAAATGAAAACTAAAAATAGGATTTGGAGCTGAGCCTTGGCCGCCACCCAGAGCTCCACTAAAGCTGGCCTGTAGTGTGTTGCTCTGCTCCTGGGCCTGTGGCAGCCTTCCCAGCAACAGGGAGGAGAGCAGGTGCAGATGCTCGGGCAGCGCCTCCCTCTTCCTGGCCTTTGCAGGTTTCTTTCTGGCCCAGCTGGACCCTCAACCTTGTGGGGCTGGTGTTTGTGTTGTCATCAGGCTGATCCATGAAAAGCATTCAGGGACGACTCTGCAAAGCCTAGGGTTTCTTCTTGCAGCAGTCGGGGAAGGCTGGTCTCCTTAGACCCCTGCCTCAGCCTGCGAGCCCTGGCCCTGTCCATGTCTCCACTGCGCACACCCTGCAGAGAGCCAGGCTGAACTCTGCTCCACTCTGAGCTCTGCACAATAACCAAATGGGACTTACTTAGACTTAGACCAGGTGGAGTGGTACTGCTGCCGTGGGCTAGTCCAGCTGCTCTGGAGTCACTGGTAACCACCAGGCTCAGCCCACAACAGATCCCTGCCTCCTGACGTGTTCCTCAGACTCCCGAAGTAGTCACCTTACCAGCAGAAAAGGATGCTTCAGGCCCACAGACTGGGAGGGGTCAGTCCACACTTGGGCAGCTGCCTTTGTGTTGGCCTGTGGCAAAGCAGCACCTCATGGCAAGACTGCCCACCTGGTGGCCATGTGACGGAGGAGGGGAGGGGCCTGTCCCATATTCCCCATTGGGGCACACCCCGGGGGGCCTGAGGACCTCACTGGGCCCACCTCTTAAGGACCCACCACCACACGCCACATTGCGCCAGGCTGGCAACAAAGGCTCTACACGTGGGCTTTAGGGACACTGGGATCAATCCCAGCACCTATCTCCCGGGCGGGCCCTCATCCCCATCTAAGACGACTGGCTAGTTCTTTACTGAGACACCTTGGAAGATATTAGGCAGAAAACCTTCCTGGGTAATTTCTCCTGACTGATTTTGAAAGTTGTGCATTTATTTTTGCATATTATTTATCATTTTTTGTTTTTGTTTTTGTTTTATAGAGTTGTTGAAAAAACAAAGAGGTGAGTGGTGTTTGCTTTCATTTTGGCGAAAAATGTCATAGAAAAATATATTTGATCTACTAAAAACTATATTCATGATTGATTTCCATAGAATAAACTATCAATATTCTAAACTAGTCTTTATATAATTACTTATCAGCTAAAATTCATATTTGGTAGTATAATCATTTATACACTGTACAAACTTTTTCCATTTTAAATTAGTTACAGTGAGACACATTTGTTCTAACTTTTATCAGGTTTGAAAATATGTTTTTATTTTCAAAGTTCTTATTAATTTTAAAATGTTTTTTGTTTTATTGGTTTATTTTCATGAATAAATGATAATTGTGTATACTTATGAGTTTTTGTTCTACCATTTCTTCTGTTTATAAACTAACTCCAGAATTTGATTAATTTTCACTCTTCTTTTCTTCTAACTCTTCATTGCTATTAATCATAACTGGTGTTGTATTATGTGACAAGCTGTCAACCCACATACACAGACAACATTTGACTTCTCCAAGGGTCTCTCGTTTCTTGGCAGAACATGTTGACTTGTACTAAGAACATGTATTGTACTAAGACACTTGTACTAAGACATGCATAACATTGACAGTTTCTCTGTATTCAGGGACTTTTTTTTCTTTGCACTCGCCTTTGTTTTGCTTGGGTTTTGATGTCTCTCAACCTTGTTCTTCCAGGGGGTGTTTGTCTAGTGAGCCAGTGCCCTCCAGGACTTTGCACTTGCTACTTGTCCTCTTTCCCAGGAGATGCCCTTTTGTGGTCATTTCCAAGTGCACTCTGCTCCCCCATGATGGTGGCACTTTCTAGCTAAGGGAGGGGTCTGAGTGTCCTCCAGGCCCTGAGCTGTGTGGACACTGGACTTCCACTGCATGCAGCTCTGCACCTGTGGAAGGTGGGACCCCTCTCCTCTTCCTGTGAGTCCCAGTAATCACCCTGCTTAGGGTGCCTGGTGCACAGCCCTCAGCAGAAGGAAGAGTGGCCTTCTCTGCAGGTGTGCTGTGTTTGCTTTTATTTGCTCTTTATTTTTCAGAACACCAAGGAGAATATCAAGGAGACTTGAGCTCTTTTAAATTTCTTGGTCCAGGGCTAACCTGTCTTACAACATCTGAACTTAACAGAACTTCAGGGTTCATGATCATTCCTTTATGTTCACTGATCTCCTATTGACCTGCACTTCATGCCACTGGCTGGGGTAGATTATCTGAGAATAGGAACCTAGGACCCTTTCTAACATAGCATTGTTTTTGTGTGTTTTGTTGCTTTGTACAGAGAAAACAGAAGACGAGAATGGTAAGTGACAGCTACATTTAACTCATAAATTGTGGAATATTAGAATATACCACACTTGATGTTCTTTTATTATAGCAAGAAAGCCTTATGTGCAGACACACCAAATGACCTAAAATAGCATTTTAAGACAACCACAATATCTTTCTTCCATATTTCAAAAAATACATATAAGTATGTGTAGGATGATGAAAGTTGTTAGGTATAGACGGAGAAAGGGGGATAGCACATGAACTGAAGCAAGGTGTGGCGGAGCCCGTGACAGGTGCAGACCAGAAGTGGCCAAGGGATCCTGCTGCAGAGACCCAGGGCAGGCTGTGAGGAGGACAGGTGAGCCTGGTGAGCTCACTGCAGAGACCTTGGGCAGCCTGTGAGGAGGACAGGTGAGCCTGGTGATCTCACTGCAGAGGCCCAGGACAGGCTGTCAGGAGGACAGGTGAGCCAGGTGATCTGACTGCAGAGACCCAGGGCAGGCTGTGAGGAGGACAGGTGAGCTAGGTGACCTGCTGGCCAGGTGATCTCACTGCAGAGACCCAGGACAGGCTGTGAGAAATACTGTTGAGCCAGGTGATCTGGCTGCAGAGACCCAGGGAAGGGTGTGAGGAGGACAGGTGAGCCAGGTGATCTGACTGTAGAGACCGAGGGCAGGCTCTAAGGAGGGTAGTGGTTGGAAACAGCACCTGCTGGCCACGTGTAAAGGTGCTCAAGGAATGGAATTTTGAACATTGGCTTTGAAAATGAGCAAATCATTGACGTTCTCACGTGCAAGTGTTATCACAAGTAGATATTGAATACTAAACATATTTTTTCTTGTTGGTAGAGAACAAGTTAGATGTTGAACAGCTACAATCTTAAAGAAAAAAGAAGGAACCCAATTAGGGACATGCTCTCATCTAAATAAATAGCTCTAGAGAGTCAAGAAATAATAATGTAGCTTTGGTGTTTCATCTTCAAAATCTCAATACATTCATTTTTATTATTTTTAGAAATCTAATAGTTTGGTATTTAGTAATGAAAACAGTTCCAGTACAAGGGAGAATTTCTGTGTGAGCCGAGTTTTCTTTTTTTAACTTCAACTCCTTATTCATTCACTCACTCTTTCATTTACTCTCACTCAGATCGAGAGAAGTAAGTGATAGTTTGGCTCTTGTTTTCTTTTTAGATGAATAATGGGATCAGAATATACTTTAAATTATGTCTCCATATCTAATAAGTTCCAAGACTGTGCAGATGCTTAGCCTCCCGGGGTACAGTTTCCACCTGTCACGTGGCTGTAATAATGTCAGCTGTGACCTAGGGTCATTCTCAGTGTTGGACATGTGCCTCAAAACACCTCCACAGAGTTCCAGACACTGTGGTTGCTATGGCCAGCCTCAGTGGTGTGGTGCTGAGCTGGGAGAAGAGGTTCTTGTCCTGGGCAGTATCTGGACCCTGGGAACCAAAATGAACCTACTGAGTTTCCTGTGAAAAGAGCAGAGCCGCCCCGTTCAGACTGTCATGAGACCACAAGGCACCATCAGCCTGGTGGCCTCTTCCCACCTTCCTGCTCTAGGTACACCGACCCAGCCAGAACCTGAAATAGTCATAAAATATTATATTTGGCTACCACAAATGTCATATGACCAAAGCCTTAACTTATCATGTAGACTAATAAAAGCATCATTTGATATTAAAGTTACAGTATCAGTATTGTCTGCCAATTCTCTTTTCTTATTTTATTTTCAGCTGAATTAGAAGAAGAATGTGGTAAGTCTTATTCGGCATTTTATGTCTCACTGGCTCATTGTGTTTAGGAAGGTACCTCCACAGGTAAGCCATGAACGTGACAATCTCACATTTACCCAGGAAATTGGCTGATCTGATGAACCCGGATGAACTGTGCTTCTGCCCTCAGTGGCCGATTCACAGTTCTGGGGACATCACAGTTTCAGGGAAGAGTAGCTCCAGGCGCAGCATCCCTTCACTAGAGCCCCTGGGGCAAGACATTTTCCCTTCAGTCGATGCCCTGCCCAAACAGAGAGCTGGCCTCTCCCTAGGTGCCCACCCCATGGACATAAGAGGGAAGAGGCTGCCCACAAGGTCCCCATCCCATTGAGGAAGGAGGCTGCCCACCAGTTCCCACCCTACGGATGGCAGATACTGCCCACCAGGCCACCACCCCATGGAGGGAGGAGGCTGTCCACCCGGCTTGTGCCATGCTCAGCTTTCCCAGAGCTGTGCTTCCCGTGTCCTCCAGCCCTCGAGGGCACTTCTGCATTACAAAGAGCACAGGACATTCCTGAGGGCTCACACATAGTGTTTCTCATCTTGGACTTGAGGAGAAATTAAGATTAAATGATCTTGGCCTGGATGTTTTCCCAGCACACCTCACTCTGGCTGCAAAGTCCTGTTCAGGTTTTTCTCTTTTTTACTAAGAGAAGGTATCTGTCAAATGAAGTTCATCACATGTGCCTAAGCCCCATGTTCCCCTGGTGCAACATACGCCTCAGGCCCCCAGTCCAGAAACAACTCTACATCCATTTACATTTCCAGTCTGTCTGCTCAACTGATCTGAGCAGAAATGAATTAATATCTGGTTTAAATAAGGAAAATATTTTAATGGATTTTGCCAACAATGCAAAGAACCAGATCTTCTGCTATCACAAAACAAGAAACCTGACCACTAAAGAAGCAAAGCATTTAACTTTAGTGCTTAACTGTAGTTGGACCACAGAACAGCTGGGTTGTAGCTCCGTGGTACAGCTCTTGCCTGACATGCACAAGGCCCTGGCTTTGATCCCCAGCACTGAAAAACAGAAGGATAAAAAAAATCAAGCAAAGATATTGCTAAAGAAGTAGTAGAATGGATGAGTCAGGAGAGGTAGACAGCACTCAGGGCATGAAGTCCTCACATTTTTCCCCTGGATGGTGAACAAAAGGAAGAATTCTGAATAAAGAGAGACTGAATCTGCTGAAATCACAGGAATTCCATTTCCACCATTGGGGTGATGATCATGGAAAATACATAACAATTTTGGGGAGAGTGTGGAGACAGGGTGCTCCCCCCACTGCTGGTTTGGCCATTGTGAAGACACCATGGAGATTCCAATAGGTAAGAAGGGGTCTAGTGTGTGACTATGCTGTCCCTCCCCTGTGTCTGTACCCTAAGGAGGTGACATCACCACCTCCTAAGGCTATCCCATGATTCAAAACAGCCAGGATATGGTGACTATTTGGGTGTCCATTAGCAGAGGATGTGACCATTCCCCGTGTGCTGGCACATATGCACAGTGAAATATTCAGCCTTGAAAGAGGAGAATCTGATGCTCATGATCCAGGTGGACCGCAGTACCGGGGGACTTTAGGCTGAATGGAGTAGACAGAAGGAAAGTGCTGCCTGGTCTCATTTCTATGTGGAATCTAAAGCAGAGACATCAACTACACAGATAGAGAACCAAACAGGTTTTGAGGAGCAGGGAGAAGAGAGGAGGGGGGGGATGTTTGTAAAAGGAAAAAGAAGCAGGTGAGCAGAGCCCACACGTCTAGAGATGTGGCCTGCAGTGAGGGAGCTCTGGCTGGTAAAATCAAACTGCTAGCAATGTTCACCAAACGGCTTGATTTCAGCTGTTGCTCTCACAAGTGACTGCGATATGTCTGCTGATTTGCTTCACCACAGCAACTCTTTAATTGTCTATATGTATTTCATAGCATCACATTGTAAACCTAAAATACAGAAAATGGAACTTTTTAGAAAAATCAAAATGCAGACTCTTGGGTATATAATACAATGTCACAAGCAAGAGAGGACATCAGAAGACCAGAGGAGTATCCTCCACAGAGATGAGGGAGACTGGCAGGAGGTGAGGTGTTGGGAGGGGATGCCAGCCTCTGAGACCCACGACCAGGCAGGCCAGGAGGCTCCAGGCAACCAAGTGAGGGCCAGGGAGGCCAGGAGAGGAGCCGCTGGGTCTCCCTCCTGCTGCACAACCAGATGTTGTGTCCACAGAGATGGTGAAGAGATCCCTCATGGAGTGCAATTCATTAATCTCTGGATACATTTACACCCACACATTTTAACGTGGTTGTGTCAGGGTGATGGCTACCTCATGGGATTGTCTTAACTTTCTGTCTAATTTTTTGATGAAATAAGCACTTGTTGCTTTAGCAATACTACACTGTATTTATAATTAATCAAGAAGTAAAACCTGTGCAGAAGTGCTGGAGAGGCCGCCTCTGTTCCCCCAGGCACCCGCCTCTGGCATGAAGTTACAGCTGGCACCTTGCAGGTCAGTTTCCCTGTACCTGGACACATGGTCACCCTCATCCCAGTGACCCCAGTACAGGAAATCACTCTCAATCTAATGCAGAGACTCAGGAAAACATGCTAGTTGGGCAGGAAACTTTTGGAATCAACTCAGGAATCCATGACTAGAAACAGAACCAAGGCAGCTGTCACTGAAGGCTGATAAGAGAAGGCCTTGCTACGTAGGCTTCAGGAGCAGGTGGTGAGGTGGGGTGCAGCCAGAGACCCTGCACATGGTGGGCTTTCAGTCTTTGGGCCTCACACTCCAGAGCTCTCACCTGATGTCCACCAACATCCTCCAAGACCCAGAGAGCCATGACCTAGGATTAAACATCTGGGAATTTCAGAAATTCATACTTTTTTACCTCTTTCTTTTTTAGGTAGAGTCAAAAAAGAACTCGGTAAGTTGTGTTTCTCTGGTGGGTTGAATTCAGAACGAGCCGGCATCCCTATGACATTGACCTTGCTCTGTTATTTCTTGCAGCACATAGAAAACGCCTTGCGGAAGCTGGTAAGTAAGACCAGTGACCTCACTGCTGACCTGCTGTACCCCCACCCTGCCCAGTGGCTCAACTAACTGTGCATGTCTCTATCTCATTTTAGAACTAAAGAAGATTCAAAGATTTGCAGGTAAATATGATGGGGGAAAAAATGTGTGGCCAGGATGACTTTTGCCTTGCCATCTAACCTCTCTGAATTACCTCAGAAGATAAAAAGATTTTGCTCAAATAATCCATAAGACACATTTCAACTCTCAAATAACTTGATTCTGGAAATATGAACTTGATGGTAAGTAACCAAATTACTGTCTGGGAAAGATCAATTTAGGAAACTGCCTTAAACGAATGCACCAGGTGTGCCCAGCAGAGCTGTGCTGGGACCTCCTCATTCTGAAACGCAGCTTCTAAATCTGGGCAAGAAAAAGTCCTCACTGTCGTGATCCCACCCACACCACCACCGCGGATCCTCCAGAGCCAGAGATGATTGATGCAGTGGGGATTTGGTTGCTGTCCCCTCTGCTCTCAAAGCCTCTGCCTGTCACGTCCACACCCCCTCTGCCACATCCTCATGTGCCATTTCCTCCTGTCTGCAAACAAACACACGCAGGAGATTCACCCACGATCTCTCCTGAAGCAACACCTTGGTGCCTCCTGTCACATTTCCTTTCCTTTACAGTAACACTTCCCTGAATAGTTGTGAATACACGCTCTCTCCATTTTCCACTCTCTGATTTCTCTCCCTCTTATCCAGAAAAAGGCCAAGATCCCGAGCATGATCTCTTTTCCAGAGGCAAGGGCCAGTGTCCTGCTCTTTGGGCTTTCTCCTGGCGTTGTCCCTCTGAAACATCCCTATTCTCCTGCTTTGCTTTGCCTACACCCCTGCCAGGCATAATAGTCCTGGGGCAGACATGGCAGAGGCACTCTGAGGTTGCTTAAGACCGGTCCCAAGGTGAGAGCAGTGTCCAGTCTCAGCCCTGCCCTTGCACCTGAGGGTAACCCTGCAAATCCCTTTCAGGTTGGGGTCTCTGGAGATGTCATCTCCCAGGAGGAGATTTGGGGATGGAAGACACCACGGGCAAGTGTGTACTGCTGGGGTCTGTGTTGTCTCTTTGGATCTCTAAAGGACCCTCCGAGGCCATGTGCTTGGCCCTTTCACACAGGCACACTGCTCTCTGAGTTGCCTGACAGTTAATGGGTACACTGTCTTCCCCTACAGCAGACATAACACTGGATGCAGCCACCGCTCACCCTTACCTGGCCGTGACAGATGATGGGAAATGTGTGACATATGTGCCCGAGAGGCAGGACGTTCCCGACAACCCTGAGCGATTTGACACACTGGTGGGCGTGCTGGGTCGGAACCGCTTCTCTGGCGGAGATCACTACTGGGAGGTGGGAGTGGCAGGCAAAAGCATGTGGGCTGTCGGGCTGTGCTTGGAGTCCGTCAGGCGGAAGGGCCAGTATACCAAGGCCTGTCCTGAAACCGGCTTCTGGATTCTTCGCCTGCAGAACGGCGAGTGCTCAGCTTTTGCCACACCCCGCACAGTGGTTACCCGAGAACCCCTCTCACGGCTGGGGGTTTTTCTGGAGTATGAAAAAGGGTTGATCTCTTTCTACAATGTCACCGAGTTTGTCATTCTCTTCACCTTCAAGAGCAACTTCAAAAGCGAGCCACTGAGGCCTTATTTCTACCCTGGGACTGTCAGTGCCGAAAAGACGAATGGCCTTAGCATCCTGAAGGTGTGAGCAGTTACCTGCAGGTCCCCACAGCACAACTGCACCAGGCCACAGCGGCCAGCCACAGGGACCACGGTGGTGCACAGGCATGCCCCTCCTGGACTCTGAAGAGCAGGGTGCTGGCGGTGTCCTGCATGCTCACTCTCAGCTTTGTGGGAGACTAGGGGCAATCTTCATTGATCCTCTTGGTCCCCAGGCCCTCCTGAGCCCCTTTCCTGTGATTTCTTTGGGCTTTAATAAATAACAAGTTCTCCACTTCTTCCTGGATTTGAGTTTGAAGTTCTGAAAATAGTTGGCAGATTCCTTAGCAGAATCAGTGCTGTGCACTTCTCATCACACAACACACAGACTGGAAGGTGTTTCTCTGTAACTGAGGATAAGCTGTGGACTTTTCAACACCACATGCTAATGACTTTGATTGCCATCACCACACCAGAATCAGTATCTTGAACATGACATCACATTTAATATTACCGAGTAAAACCGAGTACTGTCAACAACAGACTAACCCTTTGCAGGTGGCCTGCGGTGCTATAGGTGGTCTCCCCTGTGGGGCTGTAGGTGGTCTCCCCTGTGGGGCTGTAGGTTGTCTCCCCTGTGGGGCTGTAGGTGGTCTCCCCTGAGGGGCTGTAGGTGGTCTCCCCATTTGCAGGTGGCCTGAGCTGTTGTAGGTGGTCTCCCTGTTTGCGGGTGGCCTGTGGTGCTGTATGTGGTCTCCCCTGCACTGCTGTAGGTGGTCTCCCCATTTGCAGGCTGCCTGTGGTTCTGTCAGTGGTATCCCCTCAGATCCTCTGTCACATGGCTCTGAACTGTGTGTCCCAAATGCAGCCGATGCCCCTCTGCCTGGTCCATGCTGTGAAGCATGTGTCACTGCACATACACAGCACTGCACAGTCTGGCTGATTAAAGGTAAAGAACATGAGGCTGTAAAGGAAACTAAACTCACATCTCTGGTACAATGGCTTTGGGAAAATGCCATTTCTTTACAACTGTGATCAGCAGTGTCACTCTGAGAGACATCCTCTACAGGACTGAGTGTACAGGTGTCTAGTGTCTTGCACATGAGTGTTTATAGGAACTTTATAAAGAATAATGAAAAACGGAAATCAACCTAAGTATGGTTTATGAGAACACAACTTCAAGGAGAAAAATGCATACATAGACCATGTGTGTTTATATAGTGGATGGTGTTGGACAGCTAAAAAGAACCATTGACACGAAAATATGAATGAGGGTCCAACATGTGCTCAGCAAAAGAAAGTGGACACTAAAGAGTGCATACTGTTGACCTCTGTAAATTCTTGAGGAGGAAAAGCAGGTCTGTGGTAAAGAAATCAGGTGATGTGCGAGGCACTGACTTTGATTCTCAGCACCACATATAAGTAAATAAATGTCCATCAAAAACTAATAAAATATTTTTTAAAAGCTTAAAAAAAAAAAGAAATCAGGTGACCGCCTACTGTTGAGGGGGGTTGCTAAGTGGACACCCTGAAGTAGGGAAATGTTCAGTTGTCTTTGGGGGAGGTCTCGAGGACCTATTGGTGGGATGAAATCACTCTTTGCACCTCTTTCACCGGCTCCTGCTGCCTGGCTGCCTTCCTCCAGGGCAGCTCCCAGGCTTCTGCCTTCCTTCTGCATCATTCCCTTGCATGGATGTCCCCTGCTGGATGACAGGCTGTGGCTTAGAGATTGCAGGAGAGAAGAAGTACACAGCATCCAAGGCCTGTCCCAGACCTCGTCCTGGCTTTGTGAGGACCTGTAGGTGGTCCTGCGCAGAGGACTAGGAGGACAGGAGCAGAGGCCTCCTGCTGGGCATGGGGATGTGACCCTCTAAAGTGGATATTCCACTCCAAACAACCCTATGAGACTCAGCCAGTCCCCAGCCATACTCCTCAACCCTGAGCCACAGAAAGTTGGCAGAAAGTGGGGGTGGTCTCTGAAGTTTGGTGATGCAGCATTGATCAAATAATACCAGATTCATGTCCATCGTACGTGAATGGTGTGAGCTCACAGCAGATCTAGGAGCTCCTCTTAGTAGATGTGCTCATTGCCCTGTTGAGGCGAGCATTCTGAAATGCGTTTCATGCATTCTAGTCTTTAAACTATGAGTGAATAGATGATAGGAACAAGGAGAGACTCAGGCTTCTCACAGTGAGAAAGAGCGGCTGCCCGTGTACACAGCAGGAAGGGGCTGTGCTGCCCACAACCCACAGCTCTGTGAGGAGAGCGAGGCAGGGTGTAAAGGCCACACATGCACACACACAGTGCTCCCACCTTGCACTGGGATTTTGTCCCAACAGCCGTCACAGACTAACACATGGTAAGTGCAAGGTGCTCTGGATGCACAGCCCTCTGAGCCCCCCTGCTCAGCAGCAGAAAGCACCGTGGGGTGTGGAGGGCTCGCCTGCCTGGCCCTGGGCTGACCGAGGGGCGGCTCACCCCCCTGCCTAGAGCTGGGAGAGGGCATGGATCACATATTGCTCACCCAGAAAGAACCAAAATTCAAATATAAACTACAGACCAGTGGGCCTAAGTATAAACACACACTCGTGTGTGTGTGTGTGTGTGTGTGTGTGTGCGTGCGTGTGACAGTGCACGGGCCTATCGTCTGAACGGAAGGTCTGGAAGCACAGACAGCTGGATGCAGTGCTTGCTCTTGGTCACCAGGTCTGGATTTCTAAATGTATTTCTCCACTAGAGGAAACAGGAGTCTTTGGAGGAGAGGAAGCTTCTGAGAGAGACAGGTCAAGCTTAACATGAGCCTTCCCTCTTTCTGCTCCCAAAAATCAAGCTGGCAGGGTATGACAGGGACATGGCTAAAGGACCCGCTGGACAGCCTCTGTCTTCACCCACTCACACCACCCTAGTAACATGGCTCAGACTGGATGATTTATTTAGACATATAAGTGTATTTCTCACAGTTCAGGAGGCAGGAAGTCCAAGGAGCCCACAGGCTGGGTATCTGGTAAGGGCCTGGTCTCTGCTCTCTGGTGGTGCCTTGTGTCTGTGTCTTCCAGACTGTAAGAACACTGTGTGCTCATATCTAAAGAGGGGGCAAAGGTCGCTTAGAAGGAGAGGGCCCAAGGTCCTGTTTATCCCATTGCCAGTCACTCACCAAAGCCCCACCCTTGAAATGGACACAGTGTGTATTAAATTCTAACATGTGTGCTCATGGGGATGAAACTGTCCAAACCATAGTATTCCACCCCTGGGCCCCAAAACGGACATCCTTCTCATATGCAAAATACCTCATCTCTTTCCAATGGTCTCCCAAGGTCAACGTGTCCCAGCACCAACTTCAAGTCCAAAATCTCCTTTAAATGTCATCTGAATGGCAGATGCGTAAGGCTCAAGATGTGGTTCATCCTGGGCAGACTCCTCTGCAGCAGTGACCCTGTGGGAGGGAGAGGGCTGCAGGCTCACCCAGTGCAGAAGTCTTTTTTGGGACAGCACAGGGCACACAGAGTCAGAGGCAGAAATCAACAGGTCAGAGGTGGGATCTGGAGGCTAGACTTAGTTGGGAAACTTCTGGACACACTTTGTGGGCTTTGGGTCCCCCATGCCAAAGGCAAGAAAAAACAAAATTGTAAGATACTGAATTCCAATCACAAAAACAAGAAAAACAGTAAAGTTGAAAATAGAAGCAAAGAGCAAGAGCAAGAAATAGAGACACTGCTAACTACTGTAGACATTGCCAACTATGCCCACAGTCACCTCAAACATCAATGTTCTGATTACATCAATTAAGAGACAAAAATGCCCAGATGACCATCAACAGATGAATAGATAAAGAAATGTCATTTATATACACACTGGAGTTCTACTCAGCCTGAAGAAGAATGAAACCATGGTATTTGCTGGTACATGGAACTGGAGACATCAAGCTACGTAAAATAAGGGAGACTTGGAAAGTCAAGGGTCAGATGTTGTCCCTCATTCATGGAAGCCAGAGAAAAGTAAGGGGTTGAAAGGGGTGTCCCATGAAAATAGAAGAGATCAGTAAGTAGAGGAAGGGGACTGAGGTGGAGGCGCCGATGGGAAAAGGGAGGAACAGGGCCATGAAATCCAACAAACTGTCCTAAAAAAATATACACCACAGTGCATTCACCTTCATATAAAACACAGAAGTAAGTAAAAGGAAGACCAAGGGAGTAGAGGAAGGGAATAGGAAAGGGAGGAGGGGAGGGAAAAGGAAGTACTGGGGACTGAGTTGGGGCAAATTATATTCCATGCTTGAATATTTATGTCAAAATAAATCCTAATGTTAAGTGTAACTATAATGCATGGCTAATAAAATAAAAGAAAAAAATACAGCCCAGAAAGAGGCTATCCAAATGGTGGCAAGAAAGACAGACAACAGAAAACTCTAAAACAACAAAATAAACATACACACACCAAAAAAAAAAAAGAAAGAAAGAAAAAGAAAGAAAAGATCCACACAAAAATTGTCAGAATGGATCAGAAAGCAAGATCTAAGTGTATGTTGGGAAGAAGTCCATTAACAATGTAAATCTCATGCAGCTCAAATCAAAGGGTGGAGAAAGACTCATGATGCTGACACCAATCAGAAGCATCAACACCTATGTTGGTTTCAGACATAGCAGACCTCAAAGTGAGGCAAGATGGAAGGGACCAGAAGAGCCATGCATAGTGACCAGAGGCTCCGCTCTCCAAGACACAGAAAAAGCTGACAGAGTGCAAGGAAAAGTCGATACCCCCACAATTATAGTTGGAAACTTTACCACCCCTCTACAGAAAGACCTGTTAATTTTGAAAATTTTGTGGATTTTCCTCTTACCAGGAATAGAACCCAGGGGTGCTTAACCACTGAGCCACATCCTCAGCCCTTTTTTATGTTTTACTTTGAGACAGGGTCTCACTAAGTTGCTTAGGGTCAGACTAAGCTGCTGAGGCTGGCTTTGAACTCGTGATCCTCTTGCCAGAGCCTCATGTGATGCTGGGACTACACCCACCATTGCTCCCCACTTATCATCGATTTCTAACTTTATCAGGTTGTATTAGTAGAAGATACTTTGTATATTTAATATCTTTTAAAATCAATGGACACTCAATTTGTGGTCTAACATACACTCTGTCCCAGGAATTATCCCAAGCACACTTGAAAAGAATGAAAATTGTGTCATAACTCGTTCATTTCCTGTGCTGCCCAAGTCCACTGCTTCTCAACTTTTCTTCTGTGAAGCTATCCTGTCCATTATTGAGATGAGATGCTGAAGTCTGCAGCTATTATTGTAGAACCTTTTGTTCCTTCCATCGTTTTGGTCTTCTTTGTTTTATATATTTTGGTGGTCTGTATTATGGGGTGCCTAAATGTCTATGACTCTTATGCATTCTTGCTTTATGGAAACCTGTGTTAATATCCAGTTTCGTTGTTGATGTTGTTGTTGTTGTTGTTGTTGTTGTTGTTTGTGACTGGTTCTGAATGATTGGCCTGGCACTAGGGGTTCTTTGGTCCTTACCTTTTACTGGGTTTCACTGCATGGGCCTGGTACTGAGTATTGAGTCTAAGGTGTGGACAGAATTCCATTGTTCTCCCCCAGATGAGAAGCCTCTGTGCCCTGGGGTTATGGAGCTGGGGCAGGGGGCTCATTGACACCACTTGCAATGCATTTTTTCATTGTGCTCTACTAAAATCAGGCATTATGGTCTCTTGCCTGATTTTCTAAGCTCTTGTACTAATAGTTGGGTGCATGAAAACTGTTCATCTTAGTGGTCTATGGGGAGAGGTAGCTGAAGGATCTCACTCTGTCATCATTTAGTTATTTATTCTCAAAATAAATGTATTAGACCTATGTTATCAGCAACATTTTACAGATAAGAATATTGGAAAGAAACCAGTCTCCACATGGAAGCTACACCAGAGATTGTGAGTCAGGTTATGACCTCATAGTCCATTTGCCTGGGAGGTAAAGAGTCAAAGGCCGCATGCACCTTCCCCACACAGACTTACCATGGCTCTTATTCCACTCCAGTTCAAAGTGTTTCTGTGTAGACTTTGCCCTTGGAAATGTTTGTTCTTGATGCCCAGGTCAATGCACCTGTTTGGCAGAACCTGCAGATCAACTTCCTCATAGCTGAGCATGGCCACCTGGGGTGTGTGCACCCACACTACCCTTACCATTAATCATTGCCAGGAATGTTGTCAGCACTCCTGAGGACACAGGTGGCCCCGGGCAAATTCCACTGAAAACCTTTATGAGGAAATGTAGTTTCCCTGCTATTTCCTCCCACTCTATTTCCAGGTGCCTCAGAAAAATCTTGTAGAGACAGAGAGGGTTCACTCAAATGAGATCAACTCCCCTGAAAAAAATAACAGTACACACCAGCATCAGCTCCCCATGGCCTGTGGCGGTTCATGTCGGCAGGGATTGGTTTTTGCAAAGTAATCTTTGAATCACAGCAGCAAATGTGTTATAAAAAGCTGAAGCTCAAGGTGGAAATTTCACAAAGACTTGCTGAAATGAATGGAATTAGGATTTCTGGTTTCTGTTGTTTCACTTTGAAAGGCAAACACACTCTGATTAAGGCACCAATAGCTTATTATAGAAAAGAACTGGGTGGGTTTTCGCCACAGTCAGAATGTCACTACAATGAAGCAAATTGTTCCAGTATTAGCATCCCCTTATTTCTTTAAGTAGATGAGTAATTGAAACTGATGCTGAAGAATGCTTTTGAGAGTTGTGAGAGGTTTAAAGTCTCAGTGCTCATGTTATTTATGGAATCTCTACAGAACCTTAAACCATATCCAAATAACAACATAGGGATTGTAAATGTCATAAAACAATTAGAAGGATATTGGCCCTTAAATGGAACCTTGAACCTAATGCTGATGACCAGATGACCAGGCCTGAGGGCTGGGGATATAGCTCAGTTGATAGAATGCTTGCCTCACATCACATGCACAAGGCCCTGGGTTCAATCCCCAGCAACCAACACACACACACACACACACACACACACAAACACAAACACAGGCCTGCTAGTGACCCCAAAATAGAAAATAGTGGGTAACCAGTAACTGAGGGGTGACAGAGGCCTCCCAAGGCAGTTTGCAAGTTGACCTCTACAGGAGGAATGCCCTTCAGGGAGCTGTGGCTCACGGGAGGGTGTTCTGGAACTCTGAGTAACTGGAGTGGAGATAGACAGGCATGCTCCAGCACACCCTCCCTGGCTCCTGTGTACCAAGTGCCTTCCAAGTGAGAAACATTGGGAATTTAACTATATTTACAAAGAGATGCTTGTTCCCTAGAGGGAGGGCTTACGTGATGAAGGAATTTGGTGGACAGGAAGGATTTGTACCTAAGCATCATGGATATGGCATTTTAGGAGAAGAAAAAAGGAAAATGTCATGAAGGTTTCCAAGCTGACCACACTTCGAAATGTGTCTTGTGATGCAAACATAAGAGGTCATTGAGGGATTTTAAAGGAGGGAGTGATGTACTGAGAGGAATTTTAGGAATATTCCTCTGGCAGGATTAGGAGAGATAAACCAGAATGAGGATATGTGTGAAGGAATGTCAGCCAGGCATATCTGCAAGCCCTCAATGCTCATTTACTGTAACAGAAAAGAATTGGAAAAAATTAGGCTCTGGGAGTTGAGTAGAATGCTAGTAAAAATAAATAAATAAAGATAAGCCACGGAGACTTGAAGGCGGGTGCTGTTCATCGTCTTCCAGGGTACTCTCCGCTCCACTCCTTGGACTCTCCCCTGCAGCCAGTGCGGTCACCAGGGAATCCCAGGCAAGAGCTGTGGGCAGGAGACCTGAAGTGCAGAAGGCCTAGACGCTTTGCATTCTGGTCACACCGACTTTACTGGGCTTTACTCACCCTGGTGCTCCCCCTCTAGAAATTGCTCCAATTAAATGTCAGCTAAGAGAATCCCGATTCCTGGACTCTTAGATTTCTTTCTTATCTAGCACCACGTGCAGTCTACGTTTTCATCTCCACCAAGCTTAGAAATCTCCACCTGTGACCTCAAACAGGGCCTTGTGAAAACTAGCAGGTGTTTTGCTCTTTCTTCAGAACTGAAGGCAAATCCTTAACCCTGGGTGAGCTGTGGGCTTGCCTTTTCCTACAAGCAGATTGTCAGGTACTGATGGAGAATTCAAGGCACATAGGGATACGGAACACCATCCATTCCAGCGACATCAGAGTTGTCAGTTATTTCTGATAAGCATTCTCTATTTCCCTATCCACATTCCTTCTCACAATTCGCCATGTGAAACTCTGCTCATTAATGCCTTTCTTGATGTCACCACATAACCTCTCATTAAGTGACCTCATTTCCTCCCAGACACAATCAACAATTTCCTGATCCTTCTATCTTATGGTTGAGTGAAATAAATAGTGTCCTTCCTCCTAGCCACCTCCCTGTCCCCCTCATTGATGTATCCCCTCTGGCCTCATTTTCAGCAGGATTTCACATCATCATTAGCTCATCACTCACCTGACACTTCCCCTTATGTTATAAAAATGTGCCCAATTCCTTTCTTTATTTTTTATATATTTAAAATTCTGCTCTAGAACTGTTGTCATAAGCCTCCTGGATATATTTTTGTAGAATTCTCTCCCTAATGCCTCACAATCTGGTAGTGATTTCTGTAAGATCCATAAATTACTACATTGCTGCTACATCCACTCCTACTTTTTAAAAATCTTGGATTTTCAGTAATTGTGCTATTGTGGTCCCCTAGCATACGGCTGGGGGGGTGGGGGGGGGCTCTCCTGGCGTGACCTAACAGGGGGGCTGCTCCTGGGCTTCTGCCATCACACAGGTGTGCCCTCTGCCCATGAGGTCTTCTCTACCTTGTACCTTCTGGCTAACACACAATGTAAATTTACATTAGACGTAACATGGCTTATTCATTTCTTTGTGCACAGAGTTATTTTACACATATCTATTTATCACTTCTATGTACCAGGAACTGGGATTGGGCAGCTTTACAGAAAGAAAGTCATCTTTGGAGGCATCCAGACTAACTTGCCTCCACTTCACTGCTGCTATCAATATGTATCCATATCTTTATATGAATCTTAAAAAATAATATTTATATTTTATACTTTCACTAAATACACAAGTCCTCAAGATTACTGTTGTGTTTTGACCCTTGAATCTTCCCCAGTGGCTGATGTGCTGAACATTTCATTCCTAGCATTTGGAGTTACTGAGAGGTGATGGACGCTTTAGGATATGGGCAGGACATGGGACCTATTGGAGGAAGAATGTCATGTGGTGCCCACCCTCGAGGGGCGTTTCTCATTCCTGGGTCCCCTTCTCTTGCTCCAGGCTGCCATGAGGGAAGTGTCTTTCCTCTCCCATGTGCTCCCCATCATGATGCCCCTGTCCTAGAAACAACGGAGCCCAATGACTATGCACGGAAGGCTCTGGAACTGAAGTGGCACCCCCTTTCTCCACAGAAAAGCCCTCTTCACCATGGCTAATTTTAGGACTGTCAGCAAAAGAGTCCATTGTAGATAAACTTCGTATTTTCGTGTTACCCTGTTTACTTGGCCACTGGCCGAGAAGATAGCAGCACTCCAGGTGCTGGACACCCCCTTACTAGTTTTCACAAACGTATTCAGTATAGTATTTTGAAGAAATGTGCAAACAAGACCTCTGGCCTTGAGCTGGGCTTCACAGAGATGTCTACATTTTTAAGATAAGTTACAAATGGGCTCCATGGTAACAGCTGGCAGGGGGAGGAAAGAAAGGGGAAAAGAAGCTCTCCCCTTCTCAGGTGTTGTCCTTGAAGAGTTAACTTGCCTAGAACAGTGAAAGAAAAAGCTGCTTTTAAGTGAGCTTCTGAGCCCCTCCCCTTACATGCTGGGTATAAAACACTGAAACTCCCTGAACTCAGGGTTCAGGGGATTGATTGATTACAGCAAAGCCTGTACCCTCTGAACCTGACTGCAGCCAAATAAAACTGTTTCCTGCTGTCTTCGGTGCCTTGCCTCATTTGTCCCTACAACAGAACCATGAGGGGATCTTTGCTCCTTTAAGCTGGTTTTCCCAGGTACTTTTCACAGTGACAAAAAGTTGACTAACAGTAAATTGTTTTTGAAAAATTCTGTATCTGATGATGTGGCTCAGAAGCTTCCAGAACTGCTTTGTAAGAAGAATTTGGAATGGTTTAAAGAGTATCTCTGTCCCAACTAAGAAAGGCACCAAAGAAAAATCTTCAGATGGCAAATTTGAATAGGACTGATAGGTCCCTGGTCCAAATGAGAATAAAATTTCAAGAAACAAAAGGAAACTAGAGTTTTATTTGTAAGTACAGAACCTAGATAATCAAGCAAATGAAAACAGGCATGTTTGGGTGAGTGGTACAGGAGGAGCCTCTTAGCTGTGCCCTCTGTGATGTCTGATAGGTCTTCAGTGCACAGTAGAGAAGCACACCATGCCAGTGCTGTAACAGCCCTCCCCACGGATGTACCTGTGTCTGGTCTTGTTAGACTAGGATGCAAGAAAAGACCACTGACTCCAATTAAAATCAAATTAAAGCAAGCTTATTATTTCGACTGGCCGGGCTGCCTCTCCCTCCCAAAACCATGGGAACAAGACAGCAGTCCAGCTTTATAGCCCAGAAAGTTACACAAAGGGGGGTTACAGATAACAGAACTCTGACAAGCATCACACTAATGGTAGTTTACATTTTTTGCTGGCCCCAACATCAGAATTTATGAGGACCATTAGAGCCTCAGAGAGGGTCATTGTCTGGCCAGGGAAGGCCAATATTTATGAGGTGTCAATAAAGTTTCAGAGAGGGCTGCTATCTGGTCAGAGAGCCAGGCATGGGTGAGTTCAAGGCATGGGCAGGCATTCCAAGCAGGTTCCGAATTTGCAGTAATTTATAGTAAAGCCAAAATTGTCTTTTCATGGCTTTGTGGGGAGATGGCTCCCAATTTTGAGAGAAAATCAGGTTGGGTCTATCAGAGGGTCCAGGAGCAAAGGGCGAGGCTGAGCCAGGGTGTGTGTGTCACTCAGCAGGCTGTTTCCCTGTGGAAGTGGCTGCTGCTCCCCAGAGCACAGGAAGAGCAGGCTCTGCGCTCAGGCTGGCCCCCTGCACTGGTTCGAGCAGCCTGTCTCCAGCCAGGGAGGCTGAGAATCTGGCAGGGATCTGGATCCCAGAGCCAGTGACCTGTTAGGCCTGGA